TAAACGGATGTACTTCAATTTTTACAACTAAAAAGCGGGGATGAGAAATAATTGTACTTATCTCACGAGATTACTATGAAGATGGGAAATGGATAGATGCATGTAAAGCATGGAGAACAGTGCCTGGCCCAGAGAAGGTCCTAATACCGTTGGCTCTTATGACTATTATCACACAGACTGAGTATACTATTTCCTGTATAACAGATCTTAAACTTAAAAAATAAATAGATATACAATTTCCCTTAGTCTTGTCTTCTCTTGGCAAAATATCTTTATTCCTTTAAATATTCCCTGCATGACACAGTTCCAGACCTTTCTATAATCTGGAACCTCTGCTTTAAAGATATTCGAGTTTGTCAAAGTCTAGTTAAAATGTGGTGACCAGAACTGAATTATTCTTTACATGACCTGATAAGTAAACAATGCACCGGGGCTATATATATTACCTGCCTTGTCTCATTGTCTCCAGCACTGTACTTCCCTTGCCTCTGTATTTCTTTCTGTCTGTCTTCCTTGCCACTCCCTGCCCTCATACTTTAGCAGGTGATTTTCTAAACCAAAGCACAGAATTTTACATTCAACCCTAATAAATTTAATCTTCTTAATTTCAGCCGATCATTCCAGCTGGTTTAAACCTTCAGAAAACTATTCCTACAAATTCTAAGCGAGGAGAAAACTACTTCTATATCATCATCCAGTGACAGACACTTAGAAACCTCACTTTGGGTTGACACTAACCATTCAGAGATGGTCCTCTGAACAATCACTTAACCACATAAATGTACCAATATCCAAACCATATATTTTTTGACTGCCCTATGGAATGACCTTGTCAGATGCCTCAGTGAAGTCCAGTTATACAATATCTACTCCTCTTTCCTTACCTACCAGTCTGGCTACCCATAAAGAAGGAAATCAGCTTAGTTTTTAATTGGCTTCATTTTTGGTGAACTCGTACGGGCTTGTAGGAACCACTGCTATACACCTATCGTTTTTCATGATGAACTTTCACAGTAAAAACCTTAACAATCTGGAGTTGCTGGCAGGATACTGCTCCAGTTAACAGAATTTTTCTGTTGAAAAAAGATTAGCTAAAAGGTTTTTATATCATCGCATCAATGAACAGTCTTCTAAAATGTACTAGCTCATCATATTTCCGCCTTTATCTTTCCTTAGTGAGTTACTGCCTGGGGTCTTCATTGTCAACACTGATTCTAATGAACAGGGCTGTAGATATAGGAAGAATAAAAAATGGACAAAATCTGCACTAACTTGAGAGATCCTTGCATATTTTTGTTAATTCCTGTTATAAACTATATTTGTATCATCTGTCTCTTTTCTATGAAAATAAAATACAGAAAAATTGATACAACAGTGTACAGTTTCTATTAATAATATCAACTCTTTGAAGGATTAATCAATTTTCCTTATTGCATTAAGTATTTTTGACAAAGACTCTACAAAGTTAAAAATTTGGCAGATTTTTAAGACTACCATTTGTAAAAAAGCATTGAAGGCTGTCATGGATTGAAATGTAAAAATATGTGTATCAATTTGGCTATGCGCTGATTCCCAGTACTGCGTGATTGTCCACCATTCTGTCACCTGATTTTCCTGTGTGAATGAGATGGATAAGTGACAGTTATACTGATGAGCTCTACAAGATTAGACAGCATCTTAAGCCAATCTCTTTTGAGATATAAAAGAGAGAACTGAGCAGAGAGACATGGGAACCTCATACCAGCAAGAAAGAAGCACCAGGAGCATAACGTGTCCTTTGGACCCAAGGTTACTGCACAGAGAAGCTCCTAGACCAAGGAAGACTGATGACAATCTTCCTCCAGAGTCGACAGACAGTGAAAGACTTTCCCTGGAGCTAATGCCCTAAATTTGGACTTGTAGCCTACCAGACTGTGAGAAAATAAATTTCCTTTTGTTAAAGTCATCCACTTGTGGTATTTGTTACAGTAGCACTAGATGACTAAGACAGAGGCTTAACATACTTTGAAACGAATGTATATGAATGTATTTTCATCACAGCACTCCCAGCCTTGCCCACTCCTCTCCTTCCTTCCCCTTCTTCCACTCCTTCCATACCTGTGTCGTGTCTACCTTTACCGTTGGATGGCAAGATGACATTTACGCTCTGTTCTATAAGTATAAATTGTCCTGAAAGTTGAACGTCAATAAATAGCATCTGTTATGTACACATAGTTCATCAAGGAACCTTGTTTTAGTATGTTTAATGTAATCACATCTGTGCTGCTTTTTTAGAAACTATTCCTAGAATCGGGTTAAAATGTTCTTCCTTTTTTACATTTTCTTAGCTTTCTCATCACGGTATATGTGGGAGATTGTTTAGGCTCATCCCTACCTGATATTCTTCTCTGTGATGCCTCTTCCAGCAGAAGACTACACCAGTGATGTCATGTGACTTGCTTTGGCCAATGAAATGGGAGTAGATGTTCACTGTGTCACTTCTGAGGAAGTTTTAAGAGCTAGCACATGTTTCAACATCGTCCCTTTTCCATTCCTGGCAATGTTTCAGAGAAAGCCTGATCCATTACTCTGGGAATTCAAGAAGCCAACCCTTAAGCCGAACCTCAAAGCCAACACTTAAAGGGCATTTGGCATGAATGAGAAATAAACCTCCATGGTTCTAAGCCACCGAGATTTGGGGTCATGTTTACCAGAGCAAACCCAAGCTGTCCATATATGACATATTCCACTGTCCTAAAGACTCTACTCTCAGAGGCTTCCATCTTGACTGGATATGAACTGACTGCTAAGTAAGCCTCTGTAACTTCCCTCCACTGCTCTTCTAAATTGACAGATCCAAAATCCTCCTTTTTCTCAGTTTACTCTCTTGTATTGCTACAGAACATCCTTAAGTAACTTCCCAAGAAAGGGCACATGAAAAGTAAACCTTCTGAGTTCATGTCTGGAAATGTCATTATGCAGCCCACACGATTTAGACATTTGGGTAAAGATCATTTGCACTCTGATTTCGAAGGCACTGCTCTTTGAGTATCAAGTTTTGCTGGTTAAAAGTCTGAAATCCTTTGTAGACGGTCTGTTTTTCCCTCTGCAAGTTTTAGTAAGGATTTCAAACTCACATGTCTACAGGGGACAGGCCAGCAACATAACTGTATGAAGCAGTGTCTGTAAGACATACGGAGAGTGGAAAGAGTTATGATGAATCAACAAGTTAGTACAAGTTCCAGATAAAGGAAGTAACTGTCTCTCAACTCCAGCTGATAGCTGCCAAGTGAAAATGTGGGCCAGATTTACTAACGTTTCAAGAGAAGATTGGAATGTGCATTTTTATAAAAAATTCATGCATTTTAATTGATGACAACTCATTCAAAAATTGATTTCAGAAACCCTGAGTTGGCCAAACAAATATAAATGTGAGGTCTTGATCTCACATGTAATCAGCCAGTTGCCCCCACTATATTTAGGGTTTTCCTTTATCCTTGGGGTTCTAAAATTTCACAGTAGCATATTTATTTAGTCTCTTCTTCACCTCTGGGAAAACTTCTTGCGTTAATTCCTTAATAATTTCCTTTCCTCTTATTCTCATTCTCTTGCTTGGACTCCTAAATAGACAGATGCTCACAATCCCTGGCTCATTCACTCTGTCTGTGACCTACTCTGTGTCTTTGCCATTTTGTACTGTTTTCAGGGAGAGTTCCTCAACTCTGTTCCCGATGAGGTTAAAAGACAGTGTAGCAGAGTAGTTATGAGCAAGGGATTTAAATCTAGAAATCATGGCTTTTAATTGTGGCTTTGCCACTGAGGAGTGTGACTTCGGGCAAGGCATTTATATTATCTGTGCCTCAGTTTCCTCAACTGTTAAATGGACATAATATATCCGCCACTATTGCTTTTCTATTTTTTATTTCATTAATTTTTTCCTTATATTATTTTCTTTCTTTTGCTTGTTTTGGGTTTAATTTGTCTTCTCTAGTTTCCTATGGCAAAGTTTACTACACTGATTTAAGACCATTCTTTTTTTAATGTAAGCATGTTGTTGTTGTTGTTGCTGCGTGCCATCAAGCTGATTCCAACTCGCGGCAACCCTATATGACGGAGTAAAATTGCCCCATAAAGTTTCCTAGGTTGTAATTTTTACAAGAGCAGATCACCAGGTCTTTTCTTCTACGGACCATGGGGTGGGTTTGAACCACTGACATTCCAGTTAGAGAAAGAACAAATTAGTGTGGGGTCCTGTAACTCTTGGTCCTGGCCTACCTCTTTCATCTCATCTCCTAAAACTGGAACCTTCCTCCCGACTTCGGTGTTCCGAGACACTCCCAAATTGTTCTCATCTCAGAATCTTTGAACTTGCTGTTCCCTCAGCCTGGAACACTATTCCTCCAGAGATTTCACAGCTGGCTTCTTCTGATTTCTAGGGCTCCTGGCAGAAACCTGCCCTGCTCAGAGAGCTTCCCTGACTACTTAATGCTGGTAATTAACTCCCTTACCATCTTCTACCTCCCAAAGTCTATGACATGCCCTCTTTCCTTCTTAATAAATCACTCTTTGAGATTATTTCATTTTTTATTTGTGGTATGGCTGCCCATTGAAATATAAGCTCTGTGAGAGAAGGAACCTTGTCTGTCTGGCTTACTGCTTGCTCCAGCGTTGAAAACAGTACCTGACACATAGTAGGTACACAAAACTATTTATCAAATAAATGAATAAATCAAACTAGTGCTCTGACAGGAATAGAAGAACTCAAGATCCACAACAGATGTTTCCATTAAACATTCAGATTAACAAACTGTTGATGCAGACTTCACCAGGCAGTTAAAATTCTGTTCCTGGGTTTTAATGAAATAAACAATATTTTAAATATACTGGTAATAAGAGTTCTTAAAAATTTTCATTAAGCAGAAATTTTATAATATAAAGAGATTTTTAAAAGAGTGATTATGCATGTATATGTATGCATGTATATGCATGTATAAAAGGCATCATCAAAATGGAAGACCAACCTGCTGTTCATATCTTTTTTTGACATCTTCTAGCTGCCATAAAAAATCTTTTGACTGTTTCTCACGAAGAGACTTGGATCTAGTTAGATCTGCTTCCACTTTTTCCATCTACAAAATTAGAAACACAAATATTATATTTTTTAAACAAAAATAGCATATTTCATGTTTCTATAATTTGTCCACTTATTAGAATGACAGGTTTTAAACATCTCACCAATCAAAACGGTGACTTCAAAGATGACAAAATAATGAAAAATATTATCAATTTATTTTAATATGTTTTTATTTGTTTAAGGCAGGGAAATTGAAACTGACATATAACTGAATAAATTCTAATGTTACAACTATAATGTGGTGGCAACATAATTTTGGACATGCAAATATTTATTCAACAGGATTTTATCAAGCCCTTGGTACGTACAAGACACTGTGCTGAATAAAAGAAAATATTTGCAAATGACATATCTGCTAAGAGACTTGTATCTAGCATATATAAAGAACTCTCGTGATTCAATAATAAATAGACAATTAAACCCAACTGCAAAAAAAATGGGCAAAGGACTTGAATATACATTTCTCTAAAGAAGATATAGAAATGGCCAATAAGCACACGAGAAGATGCTCAACATCATTAGTCATTAGGGAAATACAAATCAAAATCATAATGAGATACCACTTCATTCCCACTGGGATGACTATACTTATACATAAAGACAGATAATAATAGGTGTTAATGAAGAGGTGAAAAAGCCACTTTGGAAAATAATTTGGCAAAAAAAACTTTTCAAAAAACTTAAATACAGAGTTGTCATATGATCCAGCAATTTCACTCCTAGATATATACCTAAGAAAACTGAAAAACGATGTCCACATAAAACCTTGCACACAAAAGTTCATAGCAGCATTACTCACAATAGCCAAGAAAAAGGAAACAACTCAAATATCCATCAACTGATGAATATATATATACAAAATGCGATATTATTTGGGCTGTTATTTAATGTGTCTCCTCCTCTGGAATGTAAGCCCATGTTCACTGATGTTTCCCAACTGTTTAGCATAGTGCATGGCACAAGAACTACTAATCAAATGGGGAAAAAAGACAGTATGTGCCCAATGTGTCACAATTTGCCAAATGAACAACCTGTAACACTTAATAGTGCCATTTTCTTCATAACCCACACAAAATAAATAGCTATCTATGCAACTGTGGAATAAAATAGAGTCAGATCTAACTTTTTACCACCTAGAAAATCACACAGATGATATCTTATTGTCTTTGCTTTCATCAGATGTTCTTTTATATGTGACAGAAAAGAGATGTTTTTACATACAGTACTGGAAAAAGTTCTTTATATTAAAAACATGAAAATGCTCAATGTAGTGCAGTATTCAATTTGTCTTTCTAACCCACAGACTGTGCATTTTAATTTAATTTAGGAGAATATTTTTTTCCTGATGCAACTGCCAGTTAATATTACAACAGTTCTATCACTGGCTACTATATATTACTTATTATTCTGCTTCACTGAGATGTTGAGATATTTCTTCTTTTCAACTTGTAGACAATGCCCTCTTTCAGGTTGCCTTTCAGTAAGTCTGAGATTATTTAAAACATGAATATTTGAGGAAATGAACCATGAAAAATGCTTCCTTCAGAGTTTTGTGTTAAACTTGAAAAAAATTCATGTGTATTTATTCAAACATGATTAAGCTTTAAGATTCTGGGAGCAAAGACGTTCATTGAAAATCTGCAGTTTCACTGGATGAGAAGACCTCAATACACATTACCACCTACAACTGCTGTTTAAGAAGGCCTTTCCATTTCTGGTTCTCACACTGACATCTGAAGTATCGAGATTATGGCGTGATATTCAGCACTTAAGTATTTCTTTGTTAAATATCAAGAATCAAAATTCTGAAAATAGTAAGTCATCAGCTTCCAAATTCAATGATCAGAGTTCTAAGATTATTGATCCATAGATAATCAGTACTGTGGTCAAGAGCAAGTTTACTAAGTAATTATTAAAGGAAGCAGAGTTAAGCCTACTTTATTTTGTTTCTAACTCAAGACCCAGGTTTCAAGTGGAAAAAATATTCTTCTCTTTAAAAAATTAACTATGTTCCTCAAGCCCTTGGGAAAAGAAAATTAGATAGGATTTTACAATAGTAAACGAAAAAAATTTTTTTAACAAAAGGAAATAAAGTCTTGAAACATCTAGTATGATGTCATTTGGTACCCTTAAACCGTAATTAATAAAACAGGGTGACTACATAGAAAGTTTGCGATACTTCTAAAGACACAAGAATTCTGTGGGTGACCCTCAAATCTCAATCTACCCATAACCTCTTACTCAAGCTCCAGTCTTCAACTTCCAATCACTGGAGGAAAGCTCATATCCTCACCTATAGTATAACAGCCTTCTTCTTCTTCTAACTCAACACACACCACCAGCACACCCACTCCATTTTCTTCATCCTACTCTCCAGTCTTCAAATTCCAACTATTTGAGGAAAACACCATCCTTACATACAGTAATAGCCTTGCTCTGCCCCTACCTCAGATTATACCACCACCACACCCACACCCTGGTGGCATAGTGGTTAAGAGGCTGGCTGCTAACCAAAAGGTCGGCAGTTCAAATCCACCAGCTGCTCCTTGGAAACCCTATGGGGCAGTTCTACTCTGTCTTATACGGTTGCTAGGAGTCAGAATCGACTAGACAGCACCTAACAACAACATCCACTCCACTTTCTTATCTCCTTCTCTCACCTCTTTGGGTTTGATAATGGTCCTGCTACCATCCCAACTACCTAGACTTGCAAACTTGGTATTATCTTTCATTTTTCTACAGTCAACGTCAATTCAATTACTGTGTCAGACCAATTCTTTGAAATACTTGTCAAATCTGTCTTTATTTGTACTGCCAACACATAGGGAAAGTTTTTTGTAGTGTCAGCTACATTCAAGAGTTTCAAGGTTCTCCCCCCTTCAATGCTTTTCACATTAGACTTCAACCCAGAGATTCCTTAATCTGTCCTTAATAATCTAATCACATCTTCTTACACTGCAGTTAACTTTGGCATTTCAAAAACAGGCCATGGCTCCGCTTCACTCTAACTTTTGCTCTTCAAACCATCTGGAAAGTCCCTTTATTATTTTTTGTTTCCCTCATCAAAATAGTCAATCTTCCCCTCCTCTCTAAGATGTTCTTTAATCTCACAAGTGACATAAATTTCTTCATTCTCTCTATCCTCTAAGACTCAATATCTTTATTTTTCCTAGCACATTAAGTTTTTCTCTACAGTATGTGTTTCAAATGTGTGGGCTTTGTTTATGCATCTAGATCATGAGCTCCCAAATAAAAGGAATCATGACTTGTAGTTTTTTCTTTTGTATGTTAATTATTAACTAAATGGCATGGTGTGCAGAATAAATATGTGTTAAATTCTCATGGGATAAATGGAAGTGTAGGAGAAAGAGAAAAGGGAATAAAAAAGTGAAGGTAAGCCAAGGAGGGAAGACCTGTTTACTTTAGTACTTTTAAGACAAATCTTCATATAAAGTTGGTGTGATCGTTGAGGTTGTGTGTCAACTTGACTGGGCCATGATTCTCAGTGGTTTGGCAGTTACGGTGTAGTCTGGCAGTCAGATGATGATGTGATCACCTCCATGATGGGATCTGCTGTGAGCAGTCAATCAATTGAAAGGGAGTTTTCTTGGGGGTATGGCCTACATTGAATACATGTGGACAGTCTGGCAAAGCTCACGGGCTTTTGCTCGCTCTGGATCCTGCAGCTGGCTCCTGTTCCTCTGACCTTAGTTCTTGGGACTTGAGCTAGCAGCTTACCTGCCGCCTTGTCTGCCAACCTTGGGATTTGTCAGTCTTCGCAGCCTATGAGCGAGGGCCCTGCTGTCTGACCTCCTGATCTTGAGTTTGCCAGCCCCTGTGGCTACGTGAATCAGGAGAAGCCTCCAGCCTGGCCCACAGACTCGGAACGTTCCAGCCTCTACAACCATGTGAGTCATTTCCTAGATATAAATCTCTCTCTATATATATTTATACACTTTACTGGTTTTGTTTCTCTAGAGAACCCAGACTAAGACGGTTGGTTTTTGGCTTTCATTTTACTTCAGTACAGGATGAAGCATTAAAAATAAAGATTAAATATTAAAACACTAAAAGTTAAATAGTAAAATATTAATTAATATTAATATTAAATAAAATTAAGAGCTTGATGAACTCAAAGTTGGTTCTTAGGTCAATGTGTTTTCTATAATAAAAACAGAAAACCAACAATAACTTAAAGCACATGAATAGACTTTATATACATACATATTAAGAAAAATGCGAAGTAAATAATAGTTGATATTATAAGAAAATAAAATACATGTTATTTAAGATTATACTGACCGAAAATGCCAGACCCCACTCCATTCTCCTTCCACGCTTTAACAGATAATCAAAAAATAAGTGATGTGAAATAGTAAAAGTTTTTAGAAGAACACAAGGTTCTTGGTTGCCATAGATACAAAAGATTCTGCTTCATCATAGATCATTCCATATTCTTCTACTCAACTCCAAGTAAAAAAAAAAAAACAAAACAAAAACTACTTTACTTTATAAATCTGGCTTCAAAAGAACCTCAAAGTAAAATTCGGTGACCAAATCAGGAACACAAAACGGCATGAGTGTATTTACATGACTGTGTATTTAAAGAACAAGAAAGGGACGTAAAGAAGGGCATTAGATTTTCCTTAAATGGTGCCTCTTAGGTACCACTTTCAGCTACATGTGAGAGAAAACACAAGTATCCATAGCTTAAACGACACAGGTCCTTATTTTTTACTTCTGTGACAAAAAATTCAGAAGTAGGCTGCTACATCAGCAGCTCAAAGAGGTTAGGGTTAAGGTCTCCGCAATTCAACCCTTCCCTAATGGCAGCAAATGGTTTCTGCAGCTCTGAACATCTGCAATGGGAAAAAGGGTGAAGGGTAAAAAAGTAAGTACAAAGGGTACATGTTAGCTGAGGCAAACTCCCTTTTAAGGGGCCTTCCTGAAAGTTCCAGTCAACAACAAATCAATTATGCTGTTTGCATTTCATTG